AATCTAGCATTAAACGGCCAGTCAGGGCACCTAACCAAGATCCTATTTGGATGATCCTGACATGGCTAGTTAGGGCTTTTTCGACAGGACATAAAACTTTGTCACTAACCTTGCCCCTCTCAAAAGCTTTAAAACCTAATTACACAATTTTCATATTTTAAAATAAATCAAAATATAAACAAATCAACCTTACATAAAAAAAATAATGCACTTATAAATAAACATATCATATAAAAAATGCATCTTAGTCGATGAAAAATTTATTAATACACTATATGAAGAGGGATTGATGTGCAGTTTTGCCCTTTAGAATTTGTAATTATGTTGGTGCGATAGATTTAAATATATTGAATCTATTATACAAAAATAAAGATAAAAATGAGGATATAACTTATAGAGGAAAGATTGGATGGCTAAAATGAGGTGCATCAAAATTTTGCGTGATAAGGGGTTACTAAGCTAATGATGTCCTATGGATCCAAATATTAATTATTTTTTATGTTGAGTGTGCCAAAAATGAACATTATCATTGCCGGGTCCCAAGCCCCATATACAAAAAAACGGAGGGTTGTATTAAGTAGACGATAATCAGTATAAAAGTTTTGTCAAAAAATCATGACATGAATTCTTTAAATCATTGTGTAAACTAGAATGTCCCCCTGAAAACGAAGTATATATGGCCTGAATACAGTGAAAAATATGCAAGAGCCACTACGACGCTCATATTTAGTGTTAAATAAACAAGAGTTCTCACATTATAGACAAATGCGAGTAAAGAAGTTAGTCTATGAAACAAATATTAAGATAAAATCATGGAATATAGATACTCTTAAGTTAAATTAATGAATTTAATAGATATTATAGTTCAAAGGAAGATAAACATCTTATGCATTAAAAAAATTACATGAATTGAAGAAAAGACTAAAGAAATTGATAGTTTTGGATTTAAACTTTGGTATTCAGGTGGACTAAAAATGGTATATATGTAATTATAGATAAAAATTTGAAAGTTAATGTAGTAAACACTAACAGAATTAGAGATAGAATTATAATTCTAATGATTGTTGTTCATACTAAAATTCTTAAATGTTATAAGTGTTTATGCTCCATAAGTAGGTTTAACTATATTTACAAAAGAAAAAGTTTAGAATGACCTAAAATAATTATTACAGATGATATCTCTTAGAAAGGAAAATTTTATTGGATGAGATATAAATGGACATGTTAATAAAGTGATGAAAGATTATAAAAATATTCATAATGACTAAGATTTTAGAGTGATTAATGAAAAAAGTAAATCCAAATCAAATTTTTCTTATCATATGATTGTGCTATTGTTAATACTTTATTTAAGAAAAGAGATGAGCATACTATTACTTATAAGAATGAATTTAATAAAATATAAATTAATTATTTTCTTATGAGAAAAAGATATCAACAAGATTATAAAGCTTGTAAAGTTCTTCTGAGTGAAAATTTAAATGCTCAACATCGATTGTTAGTTTTGAATTTTAAGATAAATGGTTCGAAAATAAAAAAAAATACAATAAAATATTATCATAGAGTTCGATGAGGGCACTCAAAAGAAAATAAAATTATTTTTATAAATAATCTTCGATATCTTAAAATTTGGAATGTTCATGACGAAGTTAATGTTATGTGGGATAAAATAACAATCACTAATAAATAAGTGGGAAAAAATGTACTTACAGAATCAAAAGAAAAAAAATTACAAATAAAAATAATTGATGGTGGAATAATAATGCGCAAAAAAAATAAAATATTTAAAATTTAGTTAAAAAAATTGGTTTAAATATAAAATCTTAAATAATTGGGAAAAATATAAGGTGTCTTGTAGGAAATCTAAGAAACAATTTGTGATGCTAAGACTTCTGCTTTTAGTTATCTTTATAATAAATTATATACTAAAAAAGGTGAAAGATATAGGTATAAAGAAGGTGAAAGATATAGGCATAAAGTAGTCAAACAAAGAGATAAGAAAAGTAAAAATTTAATTCTAGTGCATTAAAGATGAAAATTAAAAAGTATTTTTCTTAGATGATGATATTTAACATAAGTTAGTGAAAATTTTGGATAAATTTTTCAATGAGAATTTTGAAAATACGATTGAATTAATTTAATGATCTAATCGTTAATCATAATAATTTTTTTATTTTTACCATCGCATTATTAAAAAAAAGTTAAGGATGCTTTAAAGAAAATGAAAGGTAGAAAAGCAGTAAAGTCTGATGGTATCCCAATAAAAAAATTTTGAAAATATCAAGAAGATTTGAGAATTTCTTAGCTTACTAAACTCATTAATATTATTATAAAAATTAAAAAGATGCTTAAGAGTAGAGAAAGGGTACTTTGGTCCCTATTTTTAAGAATGTGAGGGGATGCACAAGCGTGTGCAAATTATAGAGGAATTGAAGTTACAATGTCGTACATTAAAATTATGAAAGAGTAATTAAACATAGGTTAAGACATGATACAAAGATTTCTCAAAATCAGTTTGGATTCATGTTGGGCAATTCTACTACATAAGTTATACATTTACTGAAAAGTTCGATGGAAAAGTATAGAGAGAGTAAGTAGAATGTACGTATGATTTTTGTTTATTTAGAAAAATCTTATGATAAGGTTCCAAGAGACATTCTTTGGAGACTTCTAGAAAAGAAATGTGTTAATATGACTTCTATTCAAGTCATTTAAGATACATATACTATTGTTGATGCATGTGTTCAAACAGGAGGATTGACCAAGTATTTTTCTATTTCAGTTGGATTACATCAGGGATCGACAATAAGTCTATATCTTTTTGCTTTAGTTATGCATGATCCTAATAGACATTTACAAAAGATTGTATCTTTGCGAGTGCTTTTTCATGATGATATCCTTCTTGTGGATAAAACTAGAAAATGAGTTAAAAAAAAAACTTGAATTATGGAGGTCAACTTTAGAGCCTAAAGTCATTTCTTTTGAGTAGATCTAAATTTGAATACATGGAATGCAATTTCAGTAATGGTAGATTTAGTGGCGGAGTTGTAACAATGACGCTAATCAAATCTTTAAAAAATTGAACTTTTTAGAAATCTCAGGTTAATCACGATGGTAATATAGAAGGGGATGTTATTAATAGAATTTATATTAATAGAATTTGATGGATGGTTGAAGTGGTGGAATGCATCAAGCCAATTGTGGGATAAAATAATACCATTTAAACTTAAAGGAAAATTTTATAAGATGATGGTGAGACCTGCAATGCTTTAAGAAACATAACCTTGGCCTATAAAAAAAACATAAAACTAAGTTAAGGGTCTGTTTGGGGCAACCACAGCTGTTTGGAAGCATGAGTGTAACTGTTGAATAAAATATTGTTGTTCAAAAAAACTACGATGGCTATTACCAAAAAAAAAAATTTTAAGTCAGACCACAGCTTTCTAGCAACCACCACAGGTAGTCAGGTATGGTAGGAAAACACGATTTTTAGTTGTAACTTTCTGAAAACGCAAGCAAAAAACAGTTTTACCAAACAGAAAAAAAAACTTTGCGGCGCCTCACCGTTGCCCCAAACGCCCCCCAAGATGCTTAGGTGGATGAGTAGTGTTACACTTAGAGAAAAAATGTGAGGTGTAGCTTGGTGGCAAACAAAATTAGAGAGAGAAGTCTTAGATGGTTTGGTTGCATTAAACGTCAGCCATATGATGATCTTGTTATAAGAGTATACAGTTTAGAATTGACTTTGGTTAAGAAAGATAGAGGTAGACAAAAAAAGATTTGGGCATGTTGAATAAAAAATGATCTTAATTTATTAGAATTGAATGAAAATATGACATTCAATAGGAAACAACGGACAAAAAGTATTCATGTAGCCAACCCCATTTACTAAGATAAAGGCTTCTTCTTGTTGTTGTGTGCCAAAAATGAAAATAATAGATAAGTATACGACAAAACTATGAATTATTAGTTAGTAAATGATGAAAATAGAGAAGAAGTTGAATTGAAATTGATTAATAATGAAGTTTTAAAAAAAAAACTTAAGTGGTTTGGATACACACAATTAAAGATAGAAAGGTGCTTTGTAAAGTGAGTTAATAAGATCAAGGTCAAATGATTAAAGAAAAAAGAGAAAAAGGACAAAACGAAGGTGACATGGATTTAAATTAATCAAAAGGATATGTGATTGAATGAATAATCACCTCAAATAACAATCAATATAAACTAAAGAAATTTCAGGATTCATAACACCAATCACAAATAGTTAGGCTAATGATGATTATAAATGATGTCTAAAACTCGAATAGAAAATGAATTTTAATAGACAAGAAATAAAAATAAAAATGCTCCAACTTGAAGATGACTTACTCGCACACTCACGCACATGTGAGTGTACCTTAATAAGTCAATTTTGAATATTTCCTATAAAGATGATGATTTTTATGAATGATTAAAAAAATAGTTTATTAAATTAATATACTTTAATCAAATCACCTAAAAAATGATTACTTCTTAAGTTTTGATTTCGCTCAACTCAAATTCAAAATCTTCATTTTCAAGTTCATGCCGACTCACTCCGACTAGAATCGACATCAATCCCTACCTTTATTAACAAAGAGGTTGTTCATGTGACTCCAATCTATGAGCTAATAGCTTTCAAGCATATCAGTTAAATGACTAACATTTTATTAAGTTGCATCTGATGCAAAACTGATTTTCCAATACTAGGTTAAAATAGATCCGAAATGACATGTGAGCTGACTTTTTATCAGGTATAAGCACCACCAAATTAGCAAATGGCCAGCAGGTAAATGTAAATGTCAAAATGGCAAGCCCTAACTTGTTCGAAACAAGGACCTAATGAGGTCTTCAACTATTGAAATCCAGAAGCTCAATACTGTCATTTTGGATCAACTCATTTAGCTTAATTAAGAAACATGCTTGACTTAATGCCAAGAAAACAACCATCTAAATGCAAAAATGAAGAAATTGCCGAGTACCTTTGATGAAAATTCCTTCGTGCCTGCCTGGACAGCACTTGCAGCAGATTGTGCAGCAGAGGCTGCAACCAGAGATAGTCGACCAAAGCCCTGGCAGAGTGATGACAATTAGAAGACTTAAGCCTCAATCAAAGCACTTGGCAGGTAAAGAACAAAAAGGATGTTCTCAAGCATCAGATGATAATCCAAAAGAAAGTTTTATTCTATTATACGGTGACCAACCTATCAAATTCATGCTTTCTCATCAAAGAATACATGTGTTTTCACCGAATAATGTGAAAATAAAAGATATATCACTGTTTAGAAAAAAAAAACTATAATAAAATAAGAAATAAAAGACCCAAAGAAAGGTGATACTGGCCAAAGGGGGTAGTTACTGATTCCAGCAAGAAGAGTGGAAAGAACCGGAGAAAACGGTGAATAAAATGAAGAATAGCATAATGACTACCTGGGCAAAAATTCAGGTTACAGGTGCAGTGCAAGGTTTGGATGGACCGAAACTTCCTAAGAGAAACCAGACAAAAGTCTAAAGACCCAAAATCTGCCCCCATACACAATACAGCCCCTATTAATAAGCATTAAGACCCCCTTATTACTAATTTGCAATCCAAATAAAAAATTATATAAAAACAGAACTAAAACATAAAAATTGTACTATAGTATAATATGGACATGAATAGTACTGACACTCCCATGTCAAAAGGCTTATAATGTAGCAAAATAAAACATAATTTAAGAAAATGATAAACGGCATTTAAATAGTTAAGCAGCATAGAAGTGTTCCTAAAATACTGATTTTGATAACAATGAAGGCACAAGTGAATCACGAAAATATTAACTCAAGGATGAGAAACAAAAGATAGAATTCCATTGCATATCATACAAGCAACACAAACTTAAAAACCAAATTAACCGCTAAACAACAAATTCTTAAACAAAGCTAACAAATTTGCTAAAACAAACAACAAACTCATTTCTTTTAGCTCATGAGCTTCTGTTTTTTGTTAAATTGTCATATTTTTTTGTAATACATTCGAAAATTAATATCTTATGTATCCAAGAAACTAAAATTAATATCTTATGTTGTTGAGATGAAAATGATTAGGTGGATGAGTGGCTTTACACTTAGAGACAAAATGCGAAATGAATATATCTGTGATAGGGTTAGTGTAGCTCCTGTGACGGACAAAATTAGAGAAAGTCGCCTTAGATGGTTTGGTCACATTAAATGTCGACCATCTGATGATTGATTAGAAGAGTAGATGTTTTAGATTCGACTTGTGTTAAGAAAGACAGAGGTAGACCTAGGAAGACTTGGGCTTATTTTATAAAAAATGATCTTAATTTACTAGAATTAAATGAAAATATGACACTAAATAGGAAGTAATGGAGAAAAATAATTCATGTAGCCGACCCCACGTAGTGGGATTAAGGTTTTGTTGTTGTTGTTGTTGTTGTATATAAATACATATATATATATATAGAGAGAGAGAGAGAGAGTATTTTATGATTAAAACGTCTTCAAATATCGCCCATATTACTGAATATTGATAGAATGTTCTTCTAACTCGGTCTGGCACCTAAAGTCATAGAATAAATTTGTTTAGCTCGCTCTTTCACATTTTGCCAAAGCATCAATGGATGACTATTTCGATGATAAATGATGGACTGATGATATGGAGTAATTCTGAAATGACATGCACGAGTGCAAGCAAAGAAATAAAATAGAATGTAAAATAGAAATAAAGCAGAGAAAATACACGATCTAGAAAAACAAATTCATTTCCAAGGTATCAATAAATCAATCTTATAAATATCATTTCCAAACCAAGAAATTTGCCTAGCAGATTAATCCATCCAAGGCACGGCTATATCTATTTTTAGGAGTCATTAGATTGTTTATAAATAAACTTATGCTTTAGAGAACTATGATTTCCTTTTCAATCATTTTAAGTTTATAAACGAAATCGTCACTTTTGAAGAGGAATTGTGGCATTTGGAATCAATGCTGATGTCCATGCATATCCAACCATATGATGGATTTAACAAATTTCAGCATTCATCAAAACATAATTTTTAACTTCAAGCAACCTAATGAGCCAACAGGAATATTAAAATCTGCTCAAGTAAATCAATCAGATATTAACCTAAATACTCTCTATGCATCCTCTCTTTTTGTTTTTACAACTTTGATTTCTATCAATATCATAAAAATATGTTGCTTGGTACGTATACATATAGGCCTAATAAGTTTTTCTAAAATATAAGGATTTATTTCCAGCAGACTAACTCGCAATTGTTTCACATTTATGCCAAGTGCATTAATCCTCCAACCATTTCACATATTGTAGTTGGGTAGTAGAATTTAGATTTCTCTTATTTGATACCCTGCACGCTTCACATATGTCCAACAGATTGAATTATTCCTCTTCTACAATTAGCTTTCTAAAAATTCAGCCAGCATCTTATCCTGTTTGAAATAAAACCTAGCAGCTGCACAACCAACAACATGAGATGATAAAAACCCCACTTTTATCAATACATCAAAACCCTTCAGCCTCCATGGATGTAAAAGAAAAAAAAATTAGCGGCCCCAACACAAGTTAACTTTCTATAGCTCATCCAAGCTACTCATGACTCCTCATGATGGCCGAATGCATCTTTGTTGAATAAAAAAAAAAAAAACTTCTAATTGGCCCTACCATGGCGTAAATTTCATCAGAATATTTTGCTGATGAGGAAAATATCACAGAACTCTCTTCCTATGCTACCTCGTAATGCTGCTCTCACGTTCATTCATGCATCACTCATACAAAAAATTTGCCAAGAACTCTTAATGACGGATAATAGAAGGGCTAAAATGCATTATAACTAGATAAATTCATATTAGAAAATGTGCGCATACAATAATAACTGCCAAAGAACAAGAAGATTCACCTGAGAGACAACAGACATTGTATCCCGCAGCACATCCCCTTGCGAGCCATTCCGCTGGGCCAATGGCGGCGGGGCCGATCCAAACCCCACGTACTTCCCTCCCTGGGATGGCGGGATTCCGTCCGGACGGGATTCATTCTCCGCCATTTTCCTAGCAAAGAAGCTCTCTTTATTAGCGGAAGATGCCTCCAGCTGCGCCCTTGTGTATATATCCTCCGTCGATCTAGATCTTGACGGCACCCCTCCTGTCCCACCTCCAATAATCCCAGGTCTAACATCGTTGGCCGACTGATTCCTTCTAATATCAACAGAACGATAGTCTTTACTGTCCCAGCTATCCCAGCTATCATTGCTCGAGCTCACCGACTGTCCAAGCGGCGGCTTCTTCGCACTAGCGCCGATCGTTTCCTTCTCTACGGGCGGGTCGCGCCATGGCCGGCCCTCAGCAATCGCCTGGATCCGATCGCGGTAGACGCCGGCAGCGTTTGTGTTGTACTTCGCCACGATGTCGGTCTCCTTCGGGATTCCATACTGCACCAAGAAGGCGTTGAGAAGATCATTTCCGCCGGCCTCCATCTTCTTAAGCTGTATCTCGGACCAAGAGTCCATGGTCACGGATCGGACGAAGCTGATGTGAACACCGAGGCCGCGATGCTTGCCGGAGCATTCAAGGCACATGAAGACGCCGTAGGAAACCGATGCCCACTGAGGATTCTTCTGCGAGCAGTCCACGCACGTTTTGTTACCCGTACGTGATTGGAGCTCTCGCAGCCGTCTCGACGCCGATGCCGCTGCCACCGCCATGGAATTGCTGTTGATTGACCGGATCTAGATCTGAGATTAGGAGAGATGGAGAAATAAGGCGTGAGAGGTTACTGGAGGGAAGCCCTAGATCGATTCATTCGCCGCAAACTCTTCCGTTAATTTCGGGTTCAGAATTCCGCGGGCTGAGAAAGGAGGAAGGGAGAGAAGGTAGAAGGATTGCAGTCGGGACCGGGCCTCCCCTTCTTCCTCCTTTCCCGGACTTTGGGGTCTTGCTCGCAAGGAATCCGCCCAGAAGCCAGTTTTGGTGCGCTCATCTGGATTTAATACTGCCAAAGGAGCCGCGTTCGGGATCATTTTTGTCTTGAGGCGGATTTACATTTATATATTTAATACTTAAAAACTTAATTTATATTTAACACCTAAATTTTAATCCAAACCAGAGATCTTCTTCCTCACTGCTGATTGCACGAGCCTGCGAGCTGAGTACTTTTAGGGAGGTCATGCCAACTAGTTGTAGCCCTAGCTAAGATCGGGCGACCTTATGAGAAGCCTTGGTAACCAAAATCATGAACAAGGTCTGTCAATGGGGATGTGCCGATATGGTGGGTCTGTCAATCACTTTTGATTGGCTAATCCCATGAGAAACTCAGACAACTCGGACTGTAAGTAAGATTTGCCGACTAGGTCGGTCGATATCGCATGTGCATCAGCTCAACCGAGCAGTCGGTCGTTATGCACTTCGGTACGAGACTTCGACTACTCGGTCATCATCCTTAGTCGTTCTTTCCCTTTGAGATTTGTGCTAACACTACTACTGCATACAAGTATGATTATATTTATAAACACTCATAATACATAAAAAGTCGCATGTGCATCAGCTCAACCGAGCAGTCGGTCGTCAGACAGGCTGGACTAAATTATACACTTTGGTACGAGGCTTCGACTACTCGGTCATCATCCTCAGGGTCTGTTTGGGACAGCTGCAACTTATTGAATAATCTGCTGATAAGCTGGTTAAAAATAATCTGATGATAAGCTAAATGCAGTGGCTATTACAAATATTTATTTTTATAAAAAAGTCATATCACTGCTAGAAAGCTGTCACCGCATCTACATAAGTGCGTTGTAAAAATGCTCAAAACGCATAAACTGTCAAAACGTAGTTTAACCAAACATACCAAGTGCGTTTTTAAAACGCCACCGCACCAAATAAGCTGCCCCAAACGGACCTTTAGTCGTTCTTTCCCTTTGAGATTTGTGCTAGCACTACAAGTGCATACAAGTAGATTATATTAATAAACACTCATAACACATAAAAAAATAAAAAGTATTTTGAATTTTTCAAAACCTTGTATATTTAATTTTTTAAACAAAAAATAAAAATATATAAAAAATTAAAAAATATATGTGCAGTTAATACAATAAAAATTTATAAAAAATAAAATTGATCCTAAATAAATCCTAAATAAAATTTAAAATTTCATTTATTTGGTCTGCTAATTTCATGTACAAACACGTTTGATCAATCACAAAATATGAGAATATAATAAAATCTGTGATTTATAATTAGAGAAATTACATATGCTGCATACGAAACAATAATATTTATAAAACTAATACCTAAGTGAATTGTGAAACTTCTGACAAATGCAAGCATACTTTAATTATTTATATTCATCATTTCAATGTGTGGTAGCATATTATTTATAGTATTTAGTCATGAATTTAACTTAAATTCAGCCCAAAATAAAAAATAACAGAAATTAAATCTAAGTCTTCGTCAATTCAAAATCTTTCATGCTCAATTGATTTCTTCATTTATTTTACAACGTAAATTTAGATTTATTAAATTCAACTATGATATCAATTTACCTGTTTAACGTAAATTTAAGTCGTAGCCCGACAGAGTCTTGTGAGAAAAAAATTATTAAGCGTAAATCTATGGCGCAGCGAGGACAGTAAAGGGTTCCAGCGAAAGTTTGGGTCGGCGAACTTGTGGAAAACGAGTTGGATTGAGCGGCGTTGCAACTGAACAAGGTTGTGTTTTCGACCTCCACCGTGTAAAACACAATAAAATGGTTGGAAAATTGGGCGAGACAATGAGGTTTTGATGTGTTTGGGAACGATTTTGGATGGGGATTGCCAGCGGAGGTGAGGAGCGGCAATGGGAATAAGTTGGATGGGAAAAATTATTCCTTACGGACGGCGTATGCAGAGATGCATGCGCGGTCCGATCTTCATCGTTGATCAGAGCTTTCATCATTTTTTTAAAATGGGTCTACCGAAATAAAACTTTGGTCTGATCAATGGTGGAGATCAGACGGCGGTATGGAATAATTTTTCGAGAAGGTGACGCTAATTATTCGAGAAGGTGACGCTTTATACAGAAATGGCAGGAGAAAATGCCCATTAACAACGTCCTTTATATTATTATTTTTTTTTTTTGATGCCGTTACAAGTAGATAACATTATTTAAGAGACTCAATATGTAAAAACCCCTATTTTATTTTGTAGCCATCTTTAGCTTGTTTGTTCTTTGTAAGTGTTTATCGTAATTAATTATTGCATATAATTTGTCATTAAAATAGCCACAAGAACCGATTGATTTATGCATATACATTCCTAAATAAGGCATGAATACATTTAATTTCTATTATATGAATTGTACAATAATAAGCATAATGGACTATTCAAGAACAAAAAATCAAAGTGCTACAAGTTCATGAGCATTCCATGCAGGCACTTCTAAAAGTTTTTATTGGGAGTTTTTCTTTCAAATAAGAGTATAAATTAGTCGAGTTGAGTCGAGCTCAAGTTATTCTTAGCTTGAACTTGAGCTCGAGCTTAGTTCCACGAGCATAAGGTAGCTCACAAGTCAACTTATTTATTGTGAAAGAAATGATATTATTTCAAGTTTATGATATAATTAAATAATAATTAAAATAAATAATTAGGAGATAAATAACAAGAATTCAATTGATTTAAAATAAAAAATAAAATATTTTAAATATTTTTTAATAATTTATAGATAGAGCTTTGAGTTTATGTATAATGAGTGTATTATATATATATAATAGCTGGTTTTTAAGCTAACTAATCAAGGTAGGGTTATCTTGAACTTGGTTCATCTGATCATTGAGCCAGCTAGAGCTCCCTCATGAGTATACTTGGATCCCTTACACCCCTACTTCAAAATGTTTCTTCATTACATAGCTCCCCGGAAGATGAATGCCTCTCATTGAAACATCCTCCTCGATGTTCAAGTTGAATTTAGTTCTATGATTTTAATAAATAAAAAATTCAATCTCTTTTCTCAAAAATATCTAAAATGAAGTAAAATATTGAAAATATGAGTTTTTTTAATATAATTTATAATTGATAATATTCTTTATGATTATCACATACAATAATCAATTTAAGATAATTTTATTTTTAATACTTATTAGATAGTTTAACTTAGCCCTAAACCTAATAATAACTTAAAATTAGAATACTATATGCTTTTTATTAATGATATACTTCTACAAGTTTATTATATTTAAATTAGCTTTTTATCAAATATTTTATTATAAATATCATTATTTTTAAAAGTGGAATATTGATAATATTACACAACAAGTTATGTTTTAAAATCATTTCATATGGCACATACTATATAGCCAATAAAATTTTGACATGTCATGTAATTTGCGTAGCCGTCCGATTGGTTTTACTTGAAGCACAAGATCAGTTGCCAACTCAGCGATCCGATCCCGTCAATTAAAACCAATAACATCCAATGCCGGTCTCCTCTAAATACAAAATAAAGAATTGGCTTCTCACCATCGTCAAAAAACCTGCACTTTCGTCGAATTCTTCGATATGGCCCCAAAAGCTGAGAAGAAGCCCGCGGAGAAGAAGCCCGTCGAAGAGAAGCCCGCCGAGAAGGCTCCAGCGGAGAAGAAGCCCGCCGAGAAGAAGCTCAAGGCGGAGAAACGTCCGGCAAGGGATGTTGCCGCCGGGAAAAAGAAGAAAAAGAAGGCGAAGAAGGGATCCGAAACCTACAAAATCTACATCTTTAAGGTTCTGAAGCAGGTGCATCCTGACATCGGGATCTCCAGCAAGGCGATGAGCATTATGAATTCCTTCATCAATGACATCTTCGAGAAGCTGGCTCAGGAATCATCTCGCCTCGCTCGCTACAACAAGAAACCCACCATTACATCTCGTGAGATCCAGACCTCTGTCCGCCTTGTTCTTCCCGGTGAGCTCGCTAAGCACGCTGTTTCTGAAGGAACCAAGGCTGTCACAAAGTTCACCAGTTCTTAAGCTGCCTGTGTGGTTGATTGATGCGAATACTTTTTAAAATGGGAGTAGATTTGATTTTTGTTTAAATTTATTGTCATCTTTTAAATTTAGCTTTCAGATCAATAGAATGTGGTTCTGTTGGTAAATTTGATGATGTGGTATATGACGGCTTAAAGTTGTATTAATGCTGATGCAAAGAATGATAAAAATGTATTGTTTTTTATACAACTCAGCGTCTCCGTTCTGAAGGTTTTTTCATTGTGATTTGAGAATTGCTAAGGTTATTGTGTTTTGCCTTCTATTGAGTTGTTATTTACGTTAATGAGTTGATAAGCAAGCTATAAATAAATTGATCTATCATTTATTTAAGTTAAATTTTGATATATTCTTTAACTATGTATCTTTATAAGTTGAATCTGGTATAATCTGGGATAATCGATTTAAGTTAAATTTTGATATATTCTTTAACTATGTTTCTTTATAAGTTGAATCTGGGATAATCGAATTCAAATTTGGGCAGGTTGTTGATTTTGAAGCCTAATTTATGTGATTCTTATTCTATTTTCTTTAACGCCAAGTTCTTATATTTCTTTCCCTTCAAAATTGAATTTTGATTCCTGACAAGCCAGTAATCAAGAATGAAAGACAACTGATTTCATTAAAATATGAGGAAAGATTTTCCTTCAGACCTTAAAGTAGCACTCGCAGCATGTTCACGAACGATTACACACAAATTATACTACATAAACGGGGATCAATAGATTTAGATGACATCAACTGAGTATTTTTATAACTGAGTTAATAAAGTGCTCTGCTATAACTACTGGTATTAAAGACGCTGAGCAGATTTCACAAGCTCCTCGCTAAAAGTCCACAATTGTTTTGCAAGCTTTTCATTTTCGGCAAGATCGCTGGGCTCCTTCTCGTTGCAATCAAGGAAGTATTTCCCTGTTATGCCTTTAAGGCTTGGATGCATCGCCACATAGCAAGATGTTGCTGCTCCCTGCGAAATGTTAAAATTTCTACGTGAAATACTCTTTTGAAGTAAGAAAACATACTCTTTTGAAACCTTATAAGCTAACAAATGGTCATTTTTAAAATCATTTGTCAGGAAAGTTAATCTTTTGAAATCTTATAAGCTAACAAAAGATCTTTTTTAAATCATTTGTTAGGAAAATTACATCTTTGAAACTCATTCAGTATTCTTAGAAGAGATTCAAACCTGCGGTACGTTCTTCCAAAACATGTGGGTTAATATTTTCAGCACCTCTACAAAAAAGAAGTGTGTTTTAGAGAATTCAGGATTTGTCATATACTTAAAGAAAATTGATTTATTTCACTGAGCCAGAGATTTGAGAATTTCTGTGGAATTTACTCATTTGAAATAGAGAGTGCCGCATTAAATCCGTCATGATTAATCCTGGATGAACAGAGTTTGCAGTTACATTGGCTCCTTCATCCTGCATGTATCTTGATGAGAAATTTATACTACTGTTTTATTTGGATTTAAAATTTATTTGGCTGAGAAATTACTTTTAGGCGCCTAGACAGCTCCTTTGCATGCAAAATGTTAGCAAGCTTAGATTGCCCGTAAGCCTTCTTTTCGTTGTACCTGATCATTAAAAGGAGTTGAAGAAAAATCAATCTTTTCATTAAGGCTATAAATCTCAGATCAAGAAATTTAAGCCCATGAAAGGTAGCTACCAGATCTATAAGGTGTTGCTGGCAAGACCTGAGATTTAAATTATTAGAATTAGTAAATCCCGTAAATCCACAATTTACTAAATCCTGAATGGGTTAAATCTGGAAAATCGATTGGCAACGAATTTAATAAATCCTGCATATCTAGTGAAAAAGTTTGACAATTAACGAGTGCGCCAATTGCACCTTTTAAATTTGAAGGGCAAGGATTTAAATCCACTGATTCATCAGATTTATTAAATCCGAGATTCATGTCTGAAATTCATGATATCCGGATTTATGACATCCCAAGATTTATTTTGTCCAAAATGATTGTCCACTTAAATCCTGCCTAAATCCCATCACAAGTCACTTGCCAGACAACCCTTAACAGTTATAAATGGTATAAAAATTTCGAACTTTTGTGTTCACACACCTAGACCGATCATTAATTCCATCAAATCTTATCCCTTCCGGATAAGTATGAAGGTGTGCTATAGAAGACAAGTTCACAATCCGGCCTTCAATGCCGGTCTCTTTCGCTGTTCGTTTGATTTTCTCCAGGAGAAGATTGGTCAGGTAGAAATGCCCTAATGATACAACAAAAAGAGATTATGATATTGAAACTCTTATAGTAATTATAAAAAAATTATTCTATAACACTTAATATCATAATAGTTAAAAATACATAGCATAATCTACCAACCAAGATGATTGGTCGCAAATTGCATCTCCACTCCATCCTCTGAAAGTTGGAAAGGGCAGAACATCACACCGGCATTGTTTCTGAAAATACATGAAAAAGTTAATAACTTTATTTTAAAATTTTAATTTTTTTCATCGTTTTTTACATTTTTGCAGAGAAACTCTATCAACTTACATTAAGATGTTCAGAGGGAGGTTAGTCGCAATAAAATTATCAGCAAATTCTCTCACAGACTTGAGAGAATTGAGGTCCAGTTTCATAGTTTCAACACGAGCTGCTGAATTGCTCGAAACTATTTTCTTCTTCGCCTCGTTCGCAGCTTCCATATTCCTGGCAGCAATAATGACTTGCGCTCCTCTCTGCGCCATCACTCTCGCTGTCTCAGCTCCTATCCCACTTGCCCCTCCTACATCTCACATGTAATTATATAAGCGCAATTTCCATCCATATCCCACAATTCTTACGTATTTACACTCCTAACATCTAAAGTTTGATAATTTATATTTGTAATATTTTTTGGTGTCATAAACAAGACGAGCTTCACTCTTAATAGTGATATTTTTTATGTACTATTAAAGTCTTGAATATGATACATAAATTTGGAAGTAAAAGCGTAAATAGATAAGATTTGTGAGATAACTTTAAACCATATGTTGATATCAATTAAGACCGAATAGGAGGTCAAATTTTAAATAAATGAAGTGGGACAGTTTATGTAATCAAGAAAATAAATCGGCCATCAAACAACTGCTCAATAAAAGCATTAATTTTACGATTTATATAAAAACAGTAATTTTTAGGGGTATAATTGTCCACTTTCGACATAATCTGGTTTCTCCCTTGATTTCTTTAAAATAAAACAAAATAAATAGACAAGATTTTGGTTGGGGGGTCATGGAACCAAATCACTAAATTGCTTAAAAATATTTAAGAAAAATCTCCAAAAAATTTCAGAAAAATCCAGTCTGAAAAAACTGTAACAGAGAAGAAGAATATTATCAGAATGGATTACAAAAAACAGAGAAGAAAAAGAGAAGAAAAGACCTGTAATTATAACAGTGAGATTAGATGCATCGATGCCCTCAGTAACTTGCTCGGCCGTGGTTGCTGAGCCGAAGCCGCTGGGACCCGGCCATCCAGTCACCAGAGAAATAATTCCTACCATTTTTTCCCTCCTCACTTAAACTAAATAAATATTTCAGAGTTTCTGCAAAGAAAGAATGAAGAGATTGCAGAGAAGAAGAAGAGGAAGGAGGAGGGAGTTTGGGGAGAGTGTGGGGAGCGTGAAGAAATCATTTATGGGGCGGGAGTGGCGGTGGTTCGGTTGAAGTTGGAGGGCATTGGGAGAGTCATTAATTTTGTTTAATGGCTCCTTAATATTTAAGTTTCTTTATGTGCTTTTGTAAGAGTTTTTATTAAAAAAATAAACTCATTTGAAAAAGAAAAAGTTTATTTTGAAGTAGTATAGGCGTCGCAACAATTCTATATAATTTGATTTTGACATATATAATTTGTTTAAATTAAGTACATATGTGCACCAATGGATAGTATGCATATATTTTTTCCTACTATAACATTTTTAATAACAAATAAATCTTAAATCGTAGCTTAGTATATTTTCTTTGCATTCACACTAATTGACCACAAAAGTCACAATTTGTTTATAACATTCAAAGTTAAGTATAAAAACTACAGTTGATTGCTACAATAGCAACACTATGCTACACAAACTGTATTTCGTGGCTACAAAAGTTGCAATTGGTTGCTACAACATTCATAGTTACCTACAATAATTGTTGGTGATGGTGGATGATAAATGGTGATCATTCTCCTGCACAACTCTTCAAGATTAACACCTTAGTTGCTATATCACTTTTCTCTTCTCCTCCTCTCTGAAAGTGAAGAATGAATATTTATTTATAGGTTTTTAAAGGAGCATTTTGATAAATATAGTAAGAATCTCAAAACTTTTCAGCAGGTGGTCCACATCAATTTTCTTCATCATAGATAGTTTTTTAATATTTAAGTGTCTTAAAGACTTCATAATTAGATGATTTTTGTCTCATTTGATTCCTCTCATCGATGTACTCGATTTAATTATAAATTTGTCAAATTTCGAGTTTGATTGGCCCTCCATGTAATGTTCTAAAGTTTCTAATTGCACTTTAAATATTTGATATGGGCTGAATTGAATTCTCATTAAATCATTTTCATTGTCATTGGGCTCGTATTAGTGAATGATCAGTTTAACTTTAACATTATTGAAAATATAACTTGACGATTTTGAATTTGAATAAGCAAAAATTCTTACCAAAAATGCATCAATATTCATGCTTAGTTATATAAATTTTTGGTGATGTATTATATATATTATTTATAAATGGTCGTAATACTTGATTAATATAAGTTTTCATTTATTTGTAATGTTTCATAACAAATGGACTACATGGTATCATCTTTTTTGTTTTTTTTTTTTTTTAATTATACTTGAATTCTTTTTTTCAACCATTTTAATTAAAAATAAATTATTTTCAATAAAACAAACTTTTGGTATTTCATATTTTTTAAATGAAAATCACCCAAGTCCATAGTTTGCCTCCACTTTTCACAACTATGGAGGTTGTCATTGCCATGGCCATTGAGCCTCTGTACCATCATTATTATTGGTTGCAGCCTTCCATCATCACCATATATGATATTCGATAAAAATAAAAAATAACCATATTTGAATTATCAAACATATTTTGATTTTAAACCAAAATACAAATAAACTAAAATAGAAATTAAAATAATAAAAAAGTGGTCCCAACTATCCCCAAAATTTGTATATTTTGCGAGGTTCCCTCCATCCAAAGACACACACACACACCAATTTCACTGTTTGTGAGTTGTGAATCTTAAATTTGGTTTAATTATCAACCTACTTTTATGATAAAATTATTATAGAAGATGGGAGGGGTGGAGCCCCCCTCAAACTATTCATATATATTCAAATTTCTCAAAAAACTTGGCTTGGCCATATTCATGTCTACTTGATATAAATAGATATTATTGGAGAGACAAGGACAATGAATTCACCATGATCACAATAGGCTATCCAAATCCATTATAGCCAAGTAATGAGATAGGATCTCACCTAGGTCTATTTGTCCAAGCTCGGGGACTATTAATCTAAAGGACTACTTGTTATAAGTTAATATGAAAAATAGTAGGGACTTTGTGACAAACAAAAAGCTTACAAAAAGATTTAAAATGAAGTTTTAGAGAGATTAAGTGCTTGAGGTAAATCCCAAGGGAAATTTAAAAAGTTTCTGCCTAGATTATTATAATAGAAGGAAAGATCTAGTCGATGACATGACTTATTTTGAATCGGCCTCCTATTTGATAAAAATCAATGATACGTTAAAATGTCTTTTGTACTTCATCATCTTTAAGAAATTGCCCCTCTGATATTTCTCAAATATTTTTGTTAGAAATAATAATGAAAATTTTCATGTTCAAGTCTTTATAACTCCTTTAAATTGCTCCCAAAAGCTATAGAGAAGCTCATAAGTCCCGCTAACAAATAAAAAAAGAACTAAAAAAATGTTATATAAATTTATTAATTGCTTCTATTAAGTGACATTGAATGTCAAAGGCCTCTAATATGCAGTCACTCACATTGGTCATACAAAGAATGAAAGAATGATCATTCAACTATGCTTGAAAATTAAAACAATGTAAAATAATAGAAATATTGAAACTCGCCAAAAATTACATAAATACAAAAGAATGTACCTAAGAGGAGATATCAAAGCCCCAAAAAAGAACGAAGGTAATGGTAACATTACTACCCACCAAGTATGGAATAAAGGTAAATTTAATAAGCAAAAATTATCATATATCATGAAGAGTATCAAGAGCAATCAACACATCCATTAATTTGAGAGATTATCTAGCACGAAACTAGCTTGCACGTCTTTTATTTAAAAATAAGTCATCGATAGTCTCTAGGAATGGCAATCTTCCCCCTTCGCATGTCCGCTTGGTAAACAAGATTAAGGATACTAAATATTTTTTTATCAGCCATCAATGTTATTTTTGCAATCACAAATATATAACTCAAGAAAATATGTTGTTCTTTTTATAAAGAACACAATTACCATGAAGAGGTTTTTTGATAGCTCCATAAGCTAGAAGAAATTATTAAAGTAGAAAAGCTAAAAGAGTTTATAACTGCTGCTCAGAATGAAAGACAAAAGTTGAATAAAAATGAACTCAGGAATGAATCCACTATAATGCAAGTTATTTAAATAACAAGAATGTTAGGTTTAGTGTAGCCGAAGTAAGACAATGCACCAGACGCTTAAGTGACGAGTTGTGGGCTCCTAAGCGACCACATAAGGTGTGCTCACAGAAAAACTAGTGCCTATGCGCTCAGTTTCCACTTGGGTGCTGATTTGTTACTCAGAGGATGACACTTAGGCACACAAAAGCTGGCGCATAAACGCCTATGCGCTAGGAGTAGTTATCACAAGCGCCTAAGCGCCCAATTTGGATGTTCGATACAAAGACATTGGTGCATAGACGCCTATGCACCAGGAGAAGTTATCACAAAATTTTATTTTTAATCACGTGTACAAGTAGCGTAAATTGGTGTTGCGAGATTTCTTTAACAAGTTCTTGCTAAATGACAGAAGTGTCGTAGAAGAGAATTTATGGGATCATAGTGTGTTTTTTCCCATCATATCTAACTAGGAAAGGTTTGGAGTGAGTCCTGTAAGCTTTCTTGTGTGTAGAAAGGAAAATGGTGTGAGTCCTGTTAGGTATGACTCATATACCATATAAGGG